CTGTTTACATTTACTCATCTCTAAGAATAAAGAAGCAAAACTCTGACTCATCTGGAACAGACGCAAATTACCCAACTAACCGTGTACCGACATTATCACTGCGTGTGTTCCTGTTCACGTATAAGCTTCCCACACCTCAGGCAGGCTGCATGTCTGTGTCACTCTGCACAACAGCAGTATGTGGAGGCATATGTGGTGCGTTTTTTTCTTTTCTTCTGAAAATGAAGTCAGAACACATTTGGTTGGACATACTGATATGTGATGTATTTTATGGCAGCAGCTATATTTATGAAGGGGGAAGCAAATGAACACATCAAGAGTGAGTTTGCTTCTACTTCTTAAATCTTCTTTTCTAGGAAGAGAGCGTGATCAAAGAGGACGTGCTGCCGCTTTTCACTGAGAAAGAACTCACTTATAGTGAATTAATTACTGTGTTATCTGTTCATCTCTACTGGAAAGAAAGTAGAGAGAGTGTCATCAATTGACAGTTCACATTCATTTGTTAGTGTTCACAGCTGAAAAAGAGTAACTCTAAACTATACTGGGCTAAGTACTAAAAGTATTATAACCACCGCTTTGTTTTCTTAATAAATAAAGAGGTTTCTTTTGCCTGCACTATGAATTAATAAGATAATATCAAATATTAGCAAACTCTGGTAAATAATGTACAGCAGAGACAATTATTCAATTCCAAGAGAAAATTAATTGGCAACTATTTTGATGAAAAACTCAGTGTTTGAGTAACGGCAAATATTTGCTGGCTCCATCTTATTAACTGAAACTTCTCTCTCTCTTTGATTTATATGATAGTAAGCGACATATCTTTGGGTTAACTGGGATTAGGACATCAGTCATTAGTTGCGGCCCTAGAGTTGTGTAACTTTCACATATCCTGTTAATATCGGGCCTGAATATAAGTGGAAAATCCTATGCACAATAAGGCTCGTGCTGATTTATTTAGCCCATTTATGAGAGTTTAAGTTGTTTTTCTCTATGTGGGTGTATCTTTCTGTGTTGTGTGTCTGGAGCTGGGCAGACAGTCTACTGTTCTGGTGCAGCCTTCATCACTCACCTGCAGACGATCATCAGTCATCAGGTCACCTATACACTGCTGCCAGATAAAAGGACCGTTTCATTCCTTCACTCTCTTCCAGATCGTCCGTGTACCCTTGTGGTATTCTGTTTGGCTCAGCTTTTGAATTCAAAAATAGTGTAGTTACTCATGTCCTCTTTGTGTTGGTTAACACTGCTCTATGTCTTCAGGTCCCCCGTCTCCGGTTCCAGTTCACTGCGCTTCAGTTAGTGGATCCAGACCTCCACCCAGCCCCTGCTCTCTGTTCCTGTCCTGCTTAAGGACCAGCTCTGTACCCTGCCTATGCTCCCAGAAACCTGGATCAACCTGCCTACCCTGCCACTACCCTGAAGAACCCCCTCCAGCTCCCAAAGAACCAGGACTCAAACCCCAGACCCAGCTCAGCCAAGCACATTTGCCTATTCACAAACTGTACAATAAAACACCTTGTTACACCACAAGCACGTCTCTGAGTCTGTGTCTGCTGGATTTATCCTTTCTGTTGTCACGGTCATTATAACGATCAACTTTATAGAATGACACTGAGATGTCTTTTTATCCATTATCCGTTCTATACTGACATTACTACATGAACCTCACATATAATAAATCATTTTCTTTTCACTTAAATTTGAATTTTCACCCGGTGATTGATCTCATATGCTCATATCTCCAGAGGGTTTATAAGGCATTATCTAACCAAACTGATTCATGCTAATTCCTGAGTACAGATAAGGTAATCCAGGAGATCGGCGCCTGAAGCATATGTCCTCTTCCTGTTAGTCTCTATGCAAATGTTGAGTGTAAATAGTGTAGCCCAGGTCTATTTCCATGGCCCTGGGTTCCATGTATCAGACACAAGCTGACACACTGGTGCGTTTACATAGTTGAAGGTTACAAACAGACACGATGTTCTCCACAGGGATACACAGATACACCTTCACTGCAGGGGAAACCTTATCAAAAAATTGGATCAGCATTCATGTTTTATTTGCTAGTATTTTCTTTTGTCTACAAAGGTAATAGATATTTGTTTTTATTTGTGCATCGTGCACTCAGGGATGGATTGCTCATGGTGTATCAGACTGTTATCGTTTCTAATCGTTAAAGCGCTGCAGATTTCACATTTTCAGTTCTGGATCGTTCAGTTTTCATGAATGAACGTGCATGTGATTCAATCAGAAATAAACTCACAATTATAACTTCTGTTTGACATATCAAAGCCAAAGTCGACTACGTTTTCCTCATGACTGACAGTAAAAGCTCTACAGCGGATCTTGAATATAAGAGGCTATTCAAAGTGCTGTGAGAAGCAGAGACTGGAGGGGGCCTGTGTGGTATTTGCTTGTCCTCACCTCTGTGTTAGCTCACAGCTCTGTGGTCATTATGTAACCACATGAACAAATATCTCTTTATCTGGGGGAAGATGAGCAGTCTCTCGACCATCCTCCATTACCTCTGTGTGCGTGTGTGTGTTTACTGCTGTAAGACAAATCAACTGGTAGATGACAGTAGGTCCGAAGAGTTTAGGCTGCTCACATGAGCAGATGGCTGAAAGCTCCAGTCATTATCATGCTTGTGTTTCATTATTATGATTCAGTGGCTAAGTGTGCCACCAGCACTGGGCAGCCAAAGGTGCTCACCACTATTCAATACTGTAACCACTGACCCAGAATTTGACAGCGATACAGACATTATCCACAAACACTTTGATTCAGCCTCTCTTCAGTGCATCTACATCATCTCAATTTAATGTTTGTAATATATGTTGTTTGTTCTCCTCTGATACAACTCCACTTACACTTGTACCTCTATATCTTTGTGAGGACTCTTGTTTGCAGAATGTATTCCCTGGCCAATTACTAACCATTACAACCAATGCCTAATCCCCACTGATCTGTTTCCAACCCTAAAATCAAGTCCCTCAAAATGTCCTCATGTGGTAAGGTCTATAACTCAAACAAGTCCTCAGAAAGATAGAAATAAGAAATACAGGTACACACACACACACACACACACACACACACACACACACACACACACACACACACACACACACACACACACACACACACACATGCTAAATATCAACACTGGGACAACACTGAGCTCTAGTGGTAAAAACTTGTTAAGATAACATAAATATAAATGAATATAAAATGTGAGTTAATTAGAACTAACTTCATTATAACACAACTGTGTAGAAAGTCCACTAAATCAGTGATATCCAGCATATGTACTATGCAGCAATCACATTTTAAGTGATAAAAGTGGAGCATTAAACAACAAAAGATAATATGTGACCTACAATCCTGGTGCAAGCCTTCCTGCTGGTTCTTTAAAGAAAAAGGAAACCAAACTTGAGTCAAATAAACAGGAAACTGTATGGTTGAGGTAAAAAAAAAAACGACTAGGCCTGTATCTTTTTTCCTGGTTTCGTACGTGACACCAGACAGTGTTGAGTAGTTTGTTTGCATCTGTGCAATGGTGGAGGTAGTATTGAGATCTTTTACAGATAGTGAAAGTAAAAGTCCTTCATTCAAAATCTTACAAAGGTAAAAGTATAGATGTTTTATCAGCAAAATGTTCTTAAAGTATTAAAAGTAAAAGCAGTTATTATGCAGCAAAATGGCCTCTATGAATGTTAAAATAATTATATATTACATAGGCTATATTATTGGATTGTTATCCCTTGTAATTGATGGAGGTGTTTATATTTAAATTATTGTTCATCCGGCTAGTTAGCTTACAGAGAGTTTTGAGTATTTGTAACATTTCAACAGATTATTAGAGATTCTCAGTCCTTCGACAGAGAGTGTGTATAGTATCAGATAAGGAAAAAAAACTTGCAGCAGATGTGCGAACAGAACAACATATTAGATTTACTGTATGGCCAATCAGGATGGATAATTATAGATTGAACAATAAATGCAGTAAATTCTTGCCTCTGATGTGAAGTTGAATGTGACATAAAATGTCAATTCACAAGTAAAATACAAGTACCTGAACTGTTGCTGAACTGTTACCCACAGTTGGACAGCTGAGGTAAGGCTTTTATTGAGGAAATAAGTGTGTGTGTGTGTGTGTGTGTGTGTGTGTGTGTGTGTGCGTGTGTGTGTGTGTTATTGTTATTGTTAGTTTTTAAATACCTAACTTTCACAGTTTGGGTGAGATTTACAAAAAGACAACATTAAATTGATCTGACAGAGGAATTAGATGTCTTTAGGGCATCAAAAAGACTGAGGCTGCTGGGATCACAATAAAGGCTGTATAGTTAGTATAGTTCGGCTTTGACTGGGTTGCAGTATCATTTTTTTATTTGCCCTTTTATTTAGTAACACACCTATCCAAATTGTACAGATATTATAAATTATGTGTCTGCAAAAATACTGGTAACAGAAAGTCTCACAAAATTTGGTTATGTCAGAAGCTTTAATGCAAAACTGTGAGGAAAAATAATTCCAAATTTATTTGTAAGGTAATATTTAATGTATCAATTATCTACAATACCCCAGATAACTATTCAAAATGCCTGCTTGATTAGTTAGAAAGCTATGTGCTGATCAAAACACTTGGTAGTCACTTATTTTCATTATATGCATACATCATCGGCTCAGATTCGCAGGTCTCTCAGGGGGAGGGGTCAAATGGAGGAGTGTGTAGTCCGCTGACCAGAGTTACTGATGAGTGCAGGCTGGAGCGCCCTCTGGTGGATGGGAGAGCTCTGGGTTACAGCGATTAAATTATAAATGATTGAAATTAAAAATCGTGCATTTTCTCAAGTTGATGGGACCTATATATCCCCTTGGGTAAAGTGTTTGAAGAGACAGGACTGTGCGCGGCCCGCATCGTGCAGTTTGGCATGTGTATGTGTGTATCAGAGAAGTGACGTGTGTTATCGCCTTGTCTGGTGACGTGTCTCTGCTGCTCTCTCTTTCCTGACGGAGCGGCTGGATGGAGCCACACTGACCCCACTGAGCACTCACACTGGAACCAGAAACACACCGGGAGTCGGCCTAAGGACACCATGGGGAGTACGTGACATTCTTCTATTGTACACACGTGTCGACAGTGATCTAAAATACTCGCTGTCTCTTTTTATGTCGAATAGTAATGGATATAAAGCGCTCGAGGGGAAGCTAATTGGCTAACCTTGGGCAGGTTAGGTGGCAAGTTGAGCTAGCTTATAACGGGAGCTAATTTGAAGTTTGTATTGTAATCACACTTTGTCTCGCTGTGTTTAAGTTACGTGAGCGATGTTTGTTTCACAGATGCGATTCCCGAAGTCTCATGAATATTCTTTAAATTAGCTTCCTGTTTTTCAGTTATTGCTCACTCGTTTAGTGATTGAGCGCTAGTTAGCAACACGCTAACGTTAGTTAGCTGTATGATCTGTTCATGTAGGATAACTTAATGTAAAGAGAACTTAAAACTGATTTCTTCCCACTTATTGTATCAGTACGTTGATACATTTGCGATGGCAATTTGACGGTCGAGTACCATAAATAAAAAATAGTGGCATATGATTAATCACTTCTGTCAAAGTCAGTTTCAGTGATTGACACAGCTGATCAAGCCGAGCCCAATCATTCAGCAGCGCAGCCGCAAACAGTATAAACATGCATACACACTGGACACTAGTTCATCTCAACCTTGCCAGAGTTTGTGTTTGTATATCCCGTTATTGTTGGAAAATACAGTGCTTACTGCTGCATTGGCCAGGTGACCAGACTGCCATGTTCAGTTTTGCTGGCAGCTGTTTAGCTGCTGGTTAGTGATGACGTAGCGTCTAAGCTAACCTGGTTATAAGTGGAAGAAAATCTTAAAATATCTCAAATGTTGATGATTCTGCAAGGACAGGTGCAGACATAGCTGCAAATGCAAAATTACTATTGTTTTTTTTATAATCTGCCAATTTCTTTCTGCAGTTAAATTTTTGGAGGTCATCAAGCCATTCTGTGCAGTCCTGCCAGAAATTCAGAAACCAGAAAGAAAGGTATCATGTTATCATATATTAAAATTGATTATATACTATTTATGCACTCTGCAAGTATGAATGGATATGATTGACACCTGCTCCTTTCTTAATCCTTACAGATTCAGTTTAGAGAAAAAGTACTATGGACTGCCATCACACTATTCATCTTTCTGGTGTGCTGCCAGGTTGGTATCTGATGACAAACCTTGATGACTACCAACCTACTGGTTATGTTATTGGTGACAGTGGTTTGCAGTAGTTTTTTTAAAATTTCTTTTTGTTGTTAATTCAGATTCCACTCTTTGGCATCATGTCGTCAGACTCAGCAGATCCCTTCTACTGGATGAGAGTAATCCTGGCTTCAAACAGAGGTGCTTGAATTGTATATGTTAAATGTGCTGTCAGTGTTGAAACACAAATCCAGCAAGAAGAAATAATTGAATTCCAGTATTGTTATCAGAAGTGACATCATCTCTTTATCACATTAGTCAAAGGTCAATAGTTGTAAGGCCTTCTTGCATTGTTTTTGGTACTGGAGCTGTTGTTGTGGTAAAAGAGCCTGATTGACTCTACCTGCTGTCCACTTTGTCATCCAGGTACTCTGATGGAGCTGGGTATCTCACCCATTGTCACATCAGGCCTCATCATGCAGCTGCTGGCTGGTGCCAAGATCATCGAGGTTGGAGACACTCCTAAGGACAGAGCCCTCTTCAATGGAGCTCAGAAATGTAGGTTTTTATTGCTCACTCAGCTGCTTTTTTTCTAGATCTTGTCACGTACCTTTGAAGCCCTGAAGATATCTTATACTTTGAAGCTTGCTCAATCATAGCACTGTTCATTTGGAACATCAGTTTTGCAGCAGCTCTGCCTGTTATGTTTCCAGTTGCAAATATTTTTTTTCCTGTCTTTTCGCAGTGTTTGGAATGATCATCACCATTGGACAGGCCATTGTATATGTAATGACTGGCATGTATGGAGACCCTTCAGAGATGGGTGCTGGGATATGCTTGCTCATCATCATCCAGGTTAATAAAAAATAATAAGCAACAGAAAAACATAAATTAATTAATTTCTCTATTGATCAATTAATTCTTTCTACCTGCAAAAATACTTTTGTCAACCAAAATGTTTTAATTATATTATTTTAAATCCATGCATTGTAGTTTTTGTTTGTTAGTTTTTGTGTACTTTTCTGCAGCAATCAGACAAATTGATGCTAAGTGAAAACTTTTTATGAATAAATGGATTCTTTTACATTATTTCATAAACTTAAAGTAGATTGTCCACTGTAATTTTTCATGGGGAAGACAGGCCTTTCAGACCCCATCTGGGTATATTATTGATTTGTTGTACACTATAGCTACATATCTACCTGTCCTGTCTCAGTACAAACATTGTGCCTGTTTCTTTAGCTCTTTGTTGCAGGTCTGATTGTCTTGCTGCTGGATGAGCTCCTCCAGAAGGGCTATGGTCTGGGCTCAGGTATCTCCCTCTTCATTGCAACCAACATCTGTGAGACGATTGTCTGGAAGGCTTTCAGCCCCACCACCGTCAACACTGGCAGAGGTAACAGCACTGGGAGCAAATGCTTTTTCTTTTTTTTCTTTTTTTCTTTTCTTTTTTTTTTTTTAAAGCTGAGTGGTCAGACATGAGATCAATATCTTAATCTGTGTTATATTGAACAGCCCAGTGATTCTTCTGGTTTTATCCAGGTACTGAGTTTGAGGGAGCCATCATTGCTCTCTTCCATCTCTTGGCTACCCGCACTGACAAGGTGCGTGCTCTGAGAGAAGCCTTCTACAGACAAAACCTGCCCAACCTCATGAACCTCATCGCCACCGTCTTTGTGTTTGCAGTGGTCATATACTTCCAGGTGAGCCGTCAACACCAACTAAATGTAGTCCAGAGTTCTATCTGCTTTTATTGCATTAAAGGAATTTCATATTCGGAGTACTGGGAATGCAAATACCTGCTCGGTTAGGAAATGTAGAAAGACAGACATTAGGAGTAATATTTTGCTGTCTTTGAGTGCTTTGCAGATGCTCTGTTGTTAAACACATATGCACTTCCTCACCAGGGCTTCAGAGTGGATCTGCCCATCAAATCAGCACGTTATCGTGGCCAATACAACACCTACCCCATCAAACTGTTCTACACCTCCAACATCCCCATCATCCTGCAGTCTGCCCTGGTCTCCAATCTTTACGTAATTTCACAGATGCTGTCGACACGTTTCAGCGGCAACTTCCTGGTCAACCTTCTGGGAACCTGGTCTGTAAGTATATAATGGGTGCTCTCTCTCCAGTACATCCAGTCCAAGTCCTTACAACATGTTTAAAGACCAAGAGATTGTATTAAGGAGTCTTAGTGTTATTTGTGTAAAGTTGATGTAATCTTGTCTAGTCAAATAAGTCATGGATATGAACTATCTCACTTACAAAATCTTTTTTAATTTAGGACACTTCGAGTGGAGGACCAGCTCGGGCCTATCCAGTGGGCGGTTTGTGCTACTACCTTTCGCCTCCAGAGTCATTTGGTTCTGTTTTAGATGACCCAGTTCATGCTGTCATTTATATTGTCTTCATGCTCGGCTCCTGTGCCTTCTTCTCCAAGACCTGGATTGAGGTGTCTGGATCCTCTGCCAAAGATGTGAGTGTGTGTGTGTATGAGGAAAACTTGGCTTTGTCAAAAAGTGTCATATTGAACTGTCCACTAATATCTTTTTGTGTGTTTCAGGTGGCAAAGCAGCTGAAGGAGCAGCAGATGGTGATGAGAGGGCACAGAGAGACCTCTATGGTGCATGAGCTTAACAGGTACAAAAACAACCTAAGAAAATAGCTTCCCAGGATTCTTTGTTTGCTACTTGCCGCATATAGAAAGTAGTCTTCCAGAATATTTGTGTGTTTATAATAGATTTTTATCTGCAGGTACATCCCCACAGCTGCTGCCTTTGGTGGTCTGTGTATAGGAGGGCTGTCTGTCATGGCTGACTTCTTGGGTGCCATTGGCTCGGGCACAGGGATCCTCTTGGCTGTGACCATCATCTACCAGTACTTTGAGATCTTTGTGAAGGAGCAGAGTGAAGTGGGCAGCATGGGAGCACTGCTCTTCTAGAAAATACCAACCTTCTGACGCAAACCAGACACAGTTCATCCACCCCCTCCCATCATTTTTATTATTTGCATTTTTGCAGTTCGCACAATCAGTACATTTTCCAGCTGGGATAGGTAATTTTTCTCTGCCACCTTTGTTCCCCACCATATTTCTCTAGCATGTCAATGCTGAGAAAACTGTTTGGGTTACTGCCAGGGTTGAGCATAGTATCAGTCCTTTTTATTCCAAGAGCTACTACCCACCTCTCTGCAGGCTGCCTAAATCCCCACTGACTGTCTCTTCAGCTGAAAAATGCCTAAAAACACACAAGTGTGAGGTGTTGTCTCTGACTTACCTCAGGCATTGTTCATTGCAGCATGTACAAGGAACACTAGACACTTCAGACAGTGACAACATGTAAGTGCTTATTTCAAGCTGAAGGCACTGTGCCTGGACTTTGCAGGGGGAGTTGAAAGAAAGCCATGTCATGTTCATCACATAACAGTCATGCTTGAGGTTTCTAGGGCACTATAGTAGGATGTGAAAAGTATAAATAAAGTATGCTTACACTCCTAATAAGGTTTCTGGTAAACTCTGACAAACTGTTGGTGGTTTTCATTTATCTTTATTTTGATATTTTAAATGATGGACTATGTCTATATTCACTCTGGTCTTATGTAGGGCACAGTGTTTGTCCTCTGTCTCTGATTCCTCAGAGGAAAGTGTTTGTGTGTGTCGTTGTGCTCTTTTATTCCCAGACTGAATCGCTGCACAATACTGCCGAGGTGGTCGGGATGAGGGTGGGTTTGATAGGGATGAAAAAGGGGTTTCATTTTGGTTTTTACTTTATGTAACAGACATAATTGTGTTATTAAAAAAACAGGATCTTTTTTTTCCAAATCATGTGGAAATTGTGTTTTGATTCCTATTGTCTCCTTGTTCTGTGTCATGGCATGTACTGAAAAGACTACAGGATACTAATTGTGGGTAAGATAATGAAGAATATTGCATAGTGGCATAGCAACAAAATGGTTTAGTGAAGTAAGACTACAAAATCAACTTGCAGAAACAAGCTTTGACATAGTTTGTCACATCAGTATCATGATTTTGAGCCTTATTCTGTTTTTGATTATATTTGGGATATGGTGTTTACATGACTAATTTGACAATGGAAACGATGATAAATAAGATGTCAGAGGTCCAGTTACATATGACTTATTACTTTTAGACATTCTATGAGCTGGAGACAATCACCAAACATAAGTTATGAGGAACTGCATTGATGGATATTTTATTGAGTGAGTGTTCACAATACATTTTGTGAAAGGATTTTTTTCTCAATTTACATTTTAGTTTTCACCCAAATTTACTTTTCATCTACCAGCTCTTCACATGAAAATCCGAAGCCTTATAAATTTTAGACTCAGCGATTATCTCCTGTAGTTTGTCATGCTCACAGATACGGCTGCAATGATTCACATCTAGAGGGATATAACAGACAAGAAACACAGCTTGTCCTGTGAACATTTTGGTAGAGTGTGTAAAGTGGTGTTAAGGGAGTCAGGTTAGGCTTAGCCTTAAGGCTCCAGAATGTCATTTAATAGAAATTGAAAAAATGAGAAAACTTGGTAAAACTAAGTTAAAATGGGAAAATATTGTTAAATGTATGTAAGTTCAGTTTATTTAAATATAGTTTAAGAAGGTATTAACTAACTCAGTATCTTTATAGATGTGTAAGCGGTTGTAGTCATTTCACTGTTTAATTAATTAGACTGTTTAGTTTAATTATTAAATGTAAAATTGTTTATTATTTATTATTTTAAAAAGGACGTGTGACGTCATGATCGTGCGCCCACATGTGGACAGGTCACAGGGGTAACGGGGCTGCTGGACGCCGGGTAGCTTGTCAAATGAAATCCTCGCAGTTGTGGACCAATTTCTTCCGCACTGGTGATCTTTTAGCACAGAGGACGAGACTCGACGGACAGAAACACCCGCAAACATGTCGTACTGCAAGCAAGAAGGTAATGTCGGTGCTCTTTCATTCATTTTCGGTCTGTGTCTGAGCAATGTCACCGAGTTAGCCACCATGCTAGGCTAACAGCGGTAACTCACGATAGGTTAGCTAACCGGCTAGCTGCGAGGGAAGCTAAGCCTCCAGCATTAAGGCTCTGAGTTCATATTGTTTTTTGGTATTGTAGTACTTGTACATAATAATCGCTGCAGTAACGTGTCACGTAAGCTAAGTGACAGTTGGGTAGAGTTGTCAAACGGTTAGCTCTAATCCTGGTGGCTCTGTTATAAGGCTGTCAGACGGTGGGGCAGGTTAACTCAAGCCAAACCTACCGACCGGGGTCACTGTCAACCAAACAGTACAGCAATACTATGTGTTTGTTGTATCAATGGAAAAACATAATTCTGTACTTTAAAATTATGCCACCGTATTGTCCACGACCAGGTCTTCTGACTCAAGAATTTATTGTAATTCCTGTATTTCTTATTTAAGGTAAAGATCGCATCATCTTTGTGACCAAGGAAGACCACGAGACGCCCAGCAATGCTGAGCTGATTGCAGATGACCCCAACGACCCATATGAGGAGCAAGGTTAGTCATTTAGTTATTAAGTTAGTTATTAATATGGATCAATCCTACTCACAAATATTGTCTGTGTCAGTGAACCACACTGATGACATGTCCCTTTATTACCGTGAAAACACACACTGTAGTTAATTTGACTCAATCCCTTATGGAAATACGGAAATGGAAATGCTTATGGAAATACTTGGGTACCGAAGCTGCAGCTGAAAGTAGTCCCCAACAATTACACTATTCAATCCTGGCTGGGGGGTGAGATCCACAGACAGGGTAGGGAAGTCTAGAAAGTGCATGGGGATTGTTGACATTAAATCACCAGACTTTTCCTGTCACTCATGAAGGAATTCTGCTGACTTTTTTGTTGTGTGGTTGACTGTTTTCTTCAGGCTTGATCTTGCCAAATGGAGACATCAACTGGAACTGCCCGTGCTTGGGCGGCATGGCCAGCGGACCTTGTGGCTCTCAGTTCAAAGACGCCTTTTCCTGCTTTCACTACAGTAAGGAAGAGGTGAAGGGCTCAGAGTGCATCGACTACTTCCGTAACATGCAGGAGTGCATGCAGAAGTACCCTGAGCTCTATCCTCAGGAGGAGGATAAAGAAAGCTCCAACCAAGCAGAGTCTGACCCTGGTTCTGCCTCTGTTGCCTCAACTGAGGGCTCTGCCTTATCCCCTGAAACTGACGCTGCCCCGTCCACTTCAAATCTCTCATCTGACAGTGTGTCACCAACAGACAGTCAGGCTGCCAGCTAAGGTCAATCACTCATCATCCATAGGCTCTTGTTCTCTGTGTGCAAACACTGCCCAGCATAAATGACTCGCCATGAGGAGCTCTGATTGGTCGCTTCTCCTGTTTAAGCCTACAGAAAGGACTTAGACTGACACAGCTCTGACACTCACGGGCAATAATTACAAAGGCCAGTAGAGGAGGACTTTGTGACTTTGTTAATGCAGAAAAACGTAGCGTATGTACAAAAGTATAGGCTGTTTTATTTGCTGAGCACTCAAAAATCATTGGATGATATGATTTAATGACAGCGGGCAAAGCTATTTGCTGCAGGGACATTAGCTCAAAAACTCACTTTATATGCAATAGGCTAATTAATTTGCTGCGTGTTCTCATGTCAATCAGAAGAGTTCATTATGTTTGTTGTCCTGTTAATGACGATTGATCAGGATTATTACTTAGCACTGATTTATCACTAATCGTTCAGTATGACAGAAATCTGAGCAGTTTACAGTTTAACAGTTGAATCCATTTGCTTTCCATCACTTGAGAGACCAAAACACATGTAATCTGTAAGAAAACAAGGCTTCTGTTACAGCTTCCTTGCAGTGGACATCTCGTTGATATTAACACAGATGTTTTAAACTGTTTGTAGACATCTTGTAGAAACTTCAGGGTCTCCATCTACATCTGTTGTTCTAATGAATGATGGTTGACACTGTATCTGACCTAGACCAAAGTGGTTTGTCACGTTTAACTGTTGCTGCATAAATGTTTTTGTTGTCTCAACACTGTCTAGAGTCTCCAGTTTGGATGCTGTGGTCACCATTCAGTGTCATTCATGTCATTCAGGCCTTAAAGGACTTGATGGTATTTATCAAAAATTAAAATGATCGTCGAACAATCTCAACTTCTACTTTCCTTTTGTCCTTCCATTGACAAAGCACAACTACCTCTCATCTCAGTGATATGTCTTTTCACATGTGTTTAGTTTCATGACTTTTGTTTGAGCTAATATTGCTTAGGAGATTTGCAAGTGTTTGTGTATAACAATCAGTGATTCTGCATCATAACCTACAACCACACAGTTTTACAGCCTTCACTTATCTTATTATATTGCTTGTATGTTAAGTTATAGTTTCATAGCATTTTTTCAAATCCCCCTAGCTTTCAAAATTAATTATATTTACCATTTACAACAAAAGTGAAAAATAATTTTTAAGAAACACAATTTAACAAAAACAGTTTTACTTGTTACATATTTTCTGTATAGCTAAATGACTACTTTAAATTTCTGTACATTGCTCTTAGGTGGTAAAAAAAAAAAGTTGAACAGTTGAATTTGACGTCGAAGCATTTATTTCAGTCTTTTATTTTGTGTTACACACCCACGCATGGTGAGTACCTCTCTTCTAGAATTACCACAAGTTTGCCTCTTGGATAATTTGCCTTTGATGACGTGTTGTCCAGCCATTTTCAGTCCCTTCTCTGAAGTGTCCACTGACTCGTGACTGTCCTTTTGAAATTCTCTCAAGTGTGTCCCACAGTTTTGGATCATATCGCTCATGGACATCCGTTCGTCAGGCCCTCTGATATAAGCAGACCCAGTCGAGGTGTCCAGGGCACCACTACACTTTGCATGGTGACCAGCAAACGGCCTGTTCCGGCCTCCTCTGGGCCTGCAAGCAGGTACTCCATTCCTAGTTTGAAAAAGAAAGATATTGTATATTGATGTGGCCAAGTGCAATATCCAAAATTGCACTCCTTGCAATATCTGCCAAAATAGTTTTTTGCATATCGTTAAGTCCTACAGTATATCATGTTTAGCCTCCTGATTACGTCTGCTTCTCTTGGTGCATTACAGTTATTCTGGGTTTCATACACTATACCACCATTTCCTTTTCTTTGTCAGGTTTGGAATATGACCTACCTGGGTTTAGTATAGGACAGGTGCAGCCACGGCTGGTCCAGGACAGAGGATAGATGCTGATTGTCCCCTGGTACAGCGTCACCTGGCCTGATCGAAGGACTTTGCGAACTTTGACCTGAACTTCTGCATGGCTACCTTTGTCATGAGCAGACAGCACACTGGCCTTGATCACTGTCATGGGCCACACAGGTGTATCAATCGGGAGTTAGCAAACATTGAGATGCCATTTTAAAACATTAACCAATGAATAGCTCAATGTTTAGTTTGTAAAGGAGAAATGCACATTTTATTTCTCACCATAGTCATGTTTAGTCTTACAGAGGTCAGACACACTTCTCAGCTTCTTCTCCTTACAGCTGCACTTTCCTGTGTGCAATGCCACAATTTTAATCCTTACAACGCAGATGAACATCATAATGATCAACACAGCATCATTTCAAAGTCAGCTGACACAACACTCACCTGTATAATGCAGAGCAGAGACTGCGAGCTCCTTTGACCACTGTACCTCTTCTTCAATTGGGAACATATGATCCAGATCAGGGATTTTTCCACCAACAGCCACATTGAACACCTGATTATTTGTGTAGCTGCAGAAGTAGTATAGAGCATAGGACATTAAGGTTCCTTATTAGCCATTCTTGTTGTACTGGCACATTCAGCTCCCTTAGTGTTTGGTGAAAAATATGGCCACAGGTTAAGCATCCAGCTACCTGTCCAGACACTGCCCAGTGGTTGGATCACAGCTGAGAGGGCAGACACAGGGTTCACAGCCCTCATCTCCAAAGCCCCAGTAGCCGGGCAGGCAGTGGCTGCAGCTTGTGCCCCCTACACCTGATTTACAGTGGCACTGCCCACTCCTAGGGTGGCACCAGGGTCCCTCCTCTCCAGGATGAGGAGGCAAAGAGCCCTGTGGATCACACCGGCAGCCTGACAGACACAGACACAGACACAGATACAGGTCTGTGTGCTGCTGAAACATTTAGTTTTGCACTATAAACTACAGATATATGCCAGCAGATGGAGCTATAAGACATTGATGGTATTGATTCTCTCTATTTCATTCACAAACTTCCCTTCCTTTGAGATTAAGAAAACATTGGACAGATATCACAGATTTAGCTGGCAACACCTAGTGGCCAGTCATGAAACCTCTTTTCTTCTGTTTTTCAGACAGGTTCAAATCACATCCGCCGTAGAAACAGTAAGCAGTAAGTGACCCTTTGTTCTCTGTTTCTAGATTGTGCAGGCGTGGGGGGAGTTGAGGGGCAAGGATGGGTGGCGGTGGTAGCCATGGCGACATCGCTGGCACCGACGCCCGACAGCGTTGTGTCGGCAGTCATCACAAACACCCCCGCTGGTGCCACCAGATGACAGCCATGCCCGCTGAGAGAAGTGACAGCTGTCTGCGTGACCGTGGCACTCGCACTCTGGGGTCACAGAGGAGTGTGATGTCATGGCAGTTAGAGAGAGGAGAGAGAGACGAAGTGAGGACATCAGGATGAGGAGGAAAGAGAAAGTGAACGGGGAACATGGACGAGAGACAAATCATAAGTCTGTTAGATTTTTGTCTAGTCAGGCAATGAAAGTATTGCTCATCTAAAAACCCAAACACATCTTGGGTTTGAAGCACTGTTATATGGAACCTTAATAAGACTTATTGTAAGTATTTCATTCATTCATTTCTTCTCTAGCTTTTCTCTATCAGCAAACTGACTGTACTCAGTGATCTAATAGTTATGCAATCCTGTTGGTGGTCACTTACTCTGGCATGGGTTCGGCTCGCCGCTGCTACCGTTGGCAGGCCTCCAGGGACGATCATTGTAGAGCGGGGCACACTTCTCACAGTGATCTCCTGCTGTGTGATGAGTACACAGACACCTACCAAAAACCTGTAAGACACATCTGGGGCTGCTCAGTTACAAACGTTACAGACATCAGCTCTCTGGAGACAGCTATAAGATAGATCCAGGCAGGTGGTGTAAAGAGTAAATCAAGCTATTTAAAGCCCTTTAAACTGGTAGTTTTCCCATCATTGAGTACATTTAACATCTGATCCTAACATCTGGACACCTGTGCTCTATAAATCTGTAACAGAGCACAGGCCAATCCAAAAACTGACAGCCGTACTTTCTCTCAAGGTCTATGTATCTTCTTTTACTTGCACCTACACACACGGAAAAAGCTACTCACCATGTTACTGTCCTGTCTGGTGTCTTGGCTGCTGTTGTATGGAACACAGTGCTCAGCATGTCCGTGGCACAGGCAGGTTCCTCTGGCCAGTAAAGTATAAATAGCATAATGTGCTGAGGCTGAGTTTTCTGTAGTGGGTGTGGAGGTCAGAGCTGAGCCTGTGAGGCTTGTCCGTCCTGTGGGGGGGTTCAGAGGTGCAGAACAGGTCTGAGCTTTTAGCAGTCTGATGCGGAGGTTACTGAGGGTAAGGCGGGCCAGGGCCTCTGGACTGTAAGGATCCAGTGTTTTAGCACTGCTTGGGTCTAGTGTCCGTAATATTACCTGGGAAGAGAAACACACCACTAATCAGCACAGAATCAAACATTGCGGATCTGCTAAAAGATAAAACATTACATCTTCATGCATATTCTCGTACCTCGCCACCTCTGCAGGGTGTAGCACTAGTGTAACGAGATGTGCACAAAGACCCTGGCTGACTAAAATCATCAGACAAACCAAACTCTGCACTGCAATTGTTTGCAAAGAGCTTAAGAGTCTCCCAGGTCTTCCCAAAGTCAGCTGAACGTTCAATGGCCATGGCAGCAGGCCGGGGCGACCTGAACACCAAAACCACATGGGACAGACAGAACTGTGTTTCCAAATCCAACCGGATTTCATCCTGCTCCGCCTGCATGGTGGTACCAGCACCTGATGCCCACCAGGTCTCCGGATGCAAGAAAGGGTCGTCGGTCATTTGAGCAGGTGGGTGAATGTCCTCAGGGTAGAGGTGATGGTTCACGGGAGGATGGTGGCAAGGGCAGTGGTTGAGGGAACTGTTCCCACAGCAGCTTGAGAGGGTGGTGAGGGTCCTGCCGCTGGCCAGGTTCCCTATGGGTGGACTACAGGCATGGTCCACACATCTGGAAACTGACACAGGGTGATGGAGAGAAAAAAAGTGGAAAGTAGTTAGGGACTTGTGGATCACTGTTTTCATATCTGGTGACTGAAAAGTCTTCATGAAAGAACAAGCATTCAAGTCACCAAAGTCTTCATTGTGTTTCCCATGAATATTTAATTAACCCGATCATTGTGCTGCTGCTGCTGCTGCTCTGATGTGACACAGAATCCTGCACTTTCCCCACTGGATACCATTAAGAGGTTAGGTTACATGTGATGCCAAGACGCGAGGCAGCCACACTATCAAATTTATCTGCAACAGGTATGACACTTGTTCTTTAGACAGCAGGAAGCAACAGATTCACTGTCACCTGCAAATGAGAAACCATGCAAGACACCATTAGGTCATCAATTTCATGGACATTTGACGCAGTTAAGTGACCACAACTGTCTGCTCAATCAGGAGCATGGCCAAAGCACAACGGGGAAAACGAGATTGCGAGTTTAGTGACAATGACGCAACTGATTCAAAGAAACAGAATCAACAGTAACTGCGACGTTGATGCTCCTCACCTGCTCCGCTCCGCGTCACAACCACAAACAGCCAACAGAGCGCCACCAGCATCTGATGCCGACATTTCCCGAGCATACTAGACACTCTCATCCTCGTTTCTTCTGTGTTTACAGCATACACGGTGCGATAAACGCCTTGCAGAAGAGATGAGTCCCAACATTATCTGTAGCCTGTCTAGAGAACATGCGCATTTCTTTGCCAGTTACGCAATGCGCAAAGCTTCCAGATGATTTGAAGAGCCTTTATTCGATGTCCTCGCAGAAATAATGTTTAAATTTTTTTTTTTTTAATCCTAAAGCAGTTCAAAACATCGTCCAGGACAACTAGGGCATCTCTCTGACAGAGGTGGATTGTGCAATCAAAATATAGATCACTGGAGAGTCCAAGAATTAATACTCCACGTTTGACATAATAACCAAATGTTGCTTGTTTCCATTTGATAGTTTGTCCTCGTCTATTTTGCACAATGAAAAGTCGGCCCTTTTCTATGATCATTCATTCATACAAATACTTCCTTTAATTCACAGCCAACCCGTGAGCTCCGTGCCCCAGCCAGGTCTAGTGCTGTACGCGTTTACGCACAGGAGGCGAGTGCGCGCTCTATTTATCCATGGTTCTCCCCACCCCCTCCCACACACACACACACACACACACAGAGTGTGAGGACGTGGTACTGCAACAACACTAAAACCCAAAGTACCCTGGACTGAGAAGATGTATGTTTTCTTCAGTCTGGCAAACATCCATCCCTGAGGACTCTGTCAAAGATCCTGCGCAGAGGAGGACAGACTTGCGACTTTCAGGGGCTCGTCAACGCAGTTAATGTGAACCAGCCGCACAGCGCATACCAGCTACACAAGGTCCCTCCACTAACCAGGGCCTCGTAGCAGGTCGAGGAAATTAGTTTATCTGCCTCTGCTCTCCTGTTTTTCAGCTGCAGTAATTCCAAGTTACAGGTCTCTTTGAAGTCTAGCAGGAAGAAACCTGAGTAGGGAGACAAAAATAGTCCTCAGTGCAGTTATTTGCAGCTTGATGGCGCATTGTGGCACCAAAAGAATCTGACAGCCTGGAGTTTCATGCAAATGAGCCGGACAAGAAAAGGGCCTTTCTCCCATCTGTCTGCCTGACTGGATAAATTACTCTGCCAGTCTTCATTATAATAAACACATGGTCTGATACATGACAGTCCTTCTTTTATAAATATTTTAACCGCACACATCAGGAAAAGTACAAGCCTTTGCTGAGATTGATGTGTTTTCCCTTCCTGGCACAAACACACACACACACACACACACACACACACACACACACACACACACACACACACACCCGAGTTGATGAATAAACACCATGTCTCTTCAGTTTTATGGCTCAACTTCAATTACAGGGGGCTCAGAAAATTGGAATAGATGCACAGAATTGGATTGGTTTCCATAAATGTCTTTAATGCCTTACAAATTGTTTACAGACCTGCCTGCTCTGCTTGCTTTTCCCCAGAGTGGAGAACAAAAACAGAATTACTAAGGAAAGGCATATGGGCCAATGATGATGATAATCTGTGTTGTGTTTGTACTGACAGAAAATATAATATGATGTCATTTTAGGAGCAGCCAGCAGCGGATTACTCACATCATTTTGTCCCAGATATCAGTCCTTATTAATGTGAAATTTGTCCATCTGTAATGGTTTTGAAAGGATCTTGCTGTTAAAGTTTTTTATGCCTTCTCCACCTCATATATCACTCCATCTTTATCTGTTGTACATTTGTCTTTGTTCACCCCTCCCCGGTCGTTGCTTTCATCTCTCTGTCCTCCTGCTTTCCACTCTAACACCAGCTATAGTGTCTGGCAGGCCTCCACACAATAAAACCCCAGAGGCTCTCCTTCATCTTCACGCATCTCAGTTTCTCCTTTCGTCTCACTCCAGTGGTGCCGTATATGCTAAGAACAGCTTCATGGAAGATTAGGGTAATGCCATTTATGAGGGATTTGCCGTTATCTGGTAATGTTAGTGGCATACGGAGAGCTTCTGGCTGATTTAGACTCGGTTCTGGCTCACTAGGACACATGGAAATGAGATCCACATCTTCTCACAGGTTCCTGTGTGCATTTGTGAGTTTGAGAAGGAAGGGTAATGGATAAAACATAGAGTCACACTGTAAGTGTGGCCCAGCTGTGGTTTTGCCTTCATTGACAAAATCAGGCTGGGTCAGGAGGAAGTTCATACTGTATGTGACTGACTTTTTAGTAACAAAGACTGCAAAATTGTAAGTTTCAGTAAATGTAAGCCACTGAGGTTTGAGGTCAAGGTTTGCAGACCAGAGCCATAAAACATTTTTACGAGCAGCCAGTTCAAGTGCAAGTTAACTGTGTTTGGTTTCTCATTTTAGCTTCAATAAGCAAAACACATTGGATTCTTAATTGACTAAATTCTAATTAAGGGTAATTTTCTGTGACACTGGAATGCAGAGCTGCCCACAGCCAATAAAGTGCTTGTTTATCAAGGAGGACAAACAACAGAATCGCACACCGCAACACGTTTCATTCAAAATGCTTAAGGAAAAATCCCCCCCCCCGTTTCAGCAAATCCATTCTGTCGCTGTTCAGGATATATCTTCATCATGCCCCCCAGCGCTGAGAGGTCAAATACCAACCAAGAAAGGTCACAGGGATCTCCTACCTGCCCCATGACTGCCTCTCTAATTGCTCCTCTTTCTCTCATTTTCAGGGCTTAATGGGGGCCGGGGGTTAGAGAGTCAGGCTCAGACAAACAGGGACCCCCCCCCTTCCCACCCTTAATAATCCTCAGTGTTTGTCCAGGCTGCTCATACATGCGTGTGTCAAGCACATGGTGTCACTCTGCACCTCTCCATCTCCTTCTCCCTCCATGTCGTCTCTGTCTTTGTGTTCTACATGTCAGCTCATATGTTCCTCCAGGAATGAAGAGGATTAAGCTGCTTCCTTACATGACTTTACTGCATGTAGGCCTGATTGGCTATCATGACCAGGCCTTGATTTGTTTCTCTAAATACTACATTTTACGGTATGGTATGTGGATTTGGTACAATCAAGCCTATGCCAGTCTAAATTAAAAGTCTCCATTTCCTTTTGTTAAGAAAACTATAGTGACACACAGTAGGATCTCATATGACGTTATCCACTGGCCGCAAGAGCAACCAGTAAATGCCATGCTTAATTGGGTGTGCTTGAGTTAAGCAGTGAGGTCAGAGTTAATTATCCTGTTGAATTTTTGGAGAAAGACTCATACATGTAGCTACAGTGTAAAATACACAGTCCTGATGTCTGATTTATAGTTCCAGGAAATTCTAGCTTAGACAGCTGTTCTATTGAAGATCATACAAGTAAGTCTTCCTAAATACTTTACCTTGAAAACCACCAGTTAACATAGCTTGAGGTTAAAAGGCCAAGGTTACAGGTCAACTGCAAAGGTCTACAGTTCAAGTCCAATAAATAAATAAATAAGCAAAAAGCAAGATGACTGTATTTCTCTAGGATTGTCTGAATTAGTCCGTTACTTTTATTTACTGTAATTTATGAGCGTGACCATTCGCTGCTGATGTTTGTTGTCATGATCCTCGTGTCATTCAGGGATTTTTGATAAGATGAGAGGCAGTTTAAAGTTAGTCTGTTCACATGTGCGTGTGCAGATCCATCATGTGTGTGTGTACTTATGTGCTAGCATGATAGGTTTAGATTGCATGGTTCCTCTTTGATGTGAGAGAATGAATGACACTGATTAAGCTGTCAGACCAGAAACTGATAAAGGCCAGATGAGGTAGGATGACAAATCAAGGCCTCTGTGAAGCACTCAGGCCCACTGCCAAACCAATAATGTGTGCATCTGTGAGCTTATGTGTGGATTTGTGGGTGTTTGCTCAGGGAGGAGTTATGGTCATAAACTCTTACATATGTGTATGTGACGGGAAATTATGCAGAACTGTTTCCATTTATTTTTTTATTAATTCTTAACGAGGAGGAATGACGGGAATGTTAAAGAGTGGCTCACTTGAGCAGGCTTCATTTGAGTGGTGATGACTTATTTATAGCTGAAACTCCTGTTCAGTATAGGACAACAAGTTAACCTCCCACCCAGAAACACACTTGCAAACACACACACTCCCACTAGTGGCTCCCTCAATCTTGTGTCCCTGTGTGACTTATTTATATATGTTTATGATGTTATCAACTAACAAGCTCAAGATTTACTTTTGTGCTCACTGACATGAAGATGCACACATACAAACACAGACACAATTTCCTGATAACTCTTTCTTGGCTTTCCATCGCCCACTCACATAAACAAATTGAAATGCCAGCACACACAATGGTTTTCTACCACAAAAATACACACAGACATGTGTTACAGATTCAACTCAGTGCTTTCTTATTCGTCCAGCTCATATTTGCACACCCACATAGATAAAGAACACTGACTTGGCTTACATAACAATTTATTTGAACTGTCTCAAACAACATCAATGGACTCAAAGGAACTAGTAATTTGGCACTTTATTAAAACGACATATAAAATGTAAACAGCAGGACAAAGCTAATGAACATCAAGGGTGCTGTTGGTCAGAGGTCAGCCCAGGGAGGTGAGGATGAGTACTGGGCACTTTTTGAAGAATAACATAAGTTAGATGCAGACAGCCAAAAACATAATGCTTACATTGCAAAAATACACAGTTTTAGTTACTTTTTTAAAACTCTACATTACGGTGGTTCTCCCACTATGTTGAATATCTTTATGACCCGTGGTGTCTGACTTTGGTTCCCCTCCTAAAAGTCACTCTGAGAGATGGAGCAAATGAGAGGAAAAATCAAATGCAGCTGTTTGTCCCGGGCCGCAGGTTGGGGGTTCGAGTCTGTCTCTCATGTCTGGCTACTTTGCTGCTTTGAGGCCCTTCTCAGCTCATTAAACATGCCTTTATTGGCATGCCAAGAGTCCACCTGTGATTCACCCAACCCATGACGGCAGCTTCATGCTATGGCCAAACATAAGGGTCACAGTTAAACAACAGTACCTCATATGACCGGGCAAAGTCAGAAATCAAATCTGCATGGAGGCAGCCTCATACATTTATTGCTGGTTTCTGCTTTGCTCTCGTAAAATGCACAGTGACAAAGCACCATGATGTTAACGTGACTTATGCTGCCCTCATGATGATTCTGTTTCATCTATGAAACCAGTGATGTTCATTGGCCACAGTAGCACTGTCACTCAGATCAGATCAGATCAGATCAGATCAGATCAGATCAGATGACCTTTAAAAGAGAAAAAGCACTTTGAAAATGGTGTGTAGTGATGGGTATTATGTTGTTAGTGGTAGGTGTAAAGAAGATTTTATAGCTCTGCAGCAAATGATCCCTTCATGTTTTTATTTTTTTGATATTAATATAAGAAAGTCTAATGAAACTGTGCGGGAAACTACAGCATGCTACTACATGCATGTTTCCACTCCTGTGTGCAAATGTGAAAATAAAATTGCACAGTAACGTAAGGGTGTGCCCACATTCGTAGCTGGATTATGGGCTT